GCATGTACACAAACCTCGTTTTTTTAATATTTTTATGTTGTCAAGTTAACCCCGAAATGTTCTTAAGCTGATACCATTCGTTCGGAACCCAACCCTAAAGTTTCGGTCTTATTTTACGAACGACCGTTCATGAACTGTCAACAAACGGGCTTACGCACTTTTTGACAACGTTTGGTCTTGATTATTGAACGTTTCGAACGGATTTTTTTTTGGGTGTATTTGTTTTCATACCGATAAAAGCATCTGATTTGGTTAACGATTCTCATTATTTCTCTAACCCCTCTCGATTTCTTTTTTATAACGCAATACGAGTTGATATGAGTTTCACGCACAAAACGTGTAGACATAAACAAATGGCATGGCATAAAATAACCGTAACAACGGAAAGGTAGCAACAAAATATGCTATTTGTTGCAGTGCAGCTAACTGTTATTCAATTACCGATAAACTTACACCACTTCCCTTTCCACGTCGTCTTACGTAATTTAATAGGTGTTGATCACTTTTCAATTTAACTGAAAGCCGAAAGCTTCGAATGCTATAAATATGTATATCTCGGCCCTATGACCGATTGTTGCAGCTGCATATCACATGATCTCATATCGTTTTTTGATGTTATGCATTACTCAGCAATGAGTAAACATTCGCGTTAAGCAACTCTTGCTTATGGTCTTCACATCTTCTGGATTGAATTGGATTGAAAGAAATAAGGAGCGATATAGTCAAAAGCCTCGTCTTTTAAATTCCAGTTACTCTCTTTAAAATAAATATACCTTCGGTTAGAGGCGCAGAAACATTTTTATTGCATTGCACTATGGGTAAAAAACCCGATTTTGGTGCATAAACCTATTTATTTTCTTAATTAATTTTTATGAATGGCCCATACTAATCGAATCTAGACATCTTCATTTCAAAACAAGGAAGAACGCTATAGTCGAGTACCTCGACTATCAGATACCCGTTACTCAGCTATATGGAGATATGCAAGCAGCAAAGCGAAAATGCGCATGAAAATTGTGGGCGTCACAGGTTTTCGCGGTTTGTGGGCGTTAAAGTGGGCGTGGCAAACTTTTTTTTGGGTCAATCGATAGGTATTGATGAGAACAATACATTTCAGTTAAAATTTTTATTCTAGCATCAAAACTGTAGGAGCCACAGTTTTGGGCGGTTTGTGGGCGTTAGAGTGGGCGTGGCACTGTGCCGAAACAAACTTGCGCTGCGTAAGAAGCTCAGAAATCTGCACGCCAAATCTCAATAGCCTAGCTCCCATAGTTTCCGAGATCTCAGCGTTCATCCGGACGGACAGACAGACGGACAGACGGACATGGCTAGATCGACTCGGCTAGTGATCCTGATCAAGAATATATATACTTTGTGGGGTCGGAAACGCTTCCTTCTGCCTGTTACATACTTTCCGACGAATCTAGTATACCCTTTTCCTCTACGAGTAACGGGTATAAAAACCGCCCTCCAAAAATTTTTGGTGGCAACTCTGTAGTGTTGCCACTACAACAAAGTCTGCTGTTCGAGAGGCTTTGCTATGTCGTTAAATTGGCGCGAAAAATTAACTTTACGTGCTTGTTGTTTTCTGTGAAAAAAAAGTTTAATAAATATGAAAATGGAAATTCCTTGCAAAGGTATTTATTAATGCAAATTAGCTTAAACATTTGATTTTATGTGTCTTGTTGTCCACCTGTGAACTGTTCTATATGTGTATCTTTATAGATTTGAACTAACAATTGTGTTTGTGTTTTGTGGAGTATAACTTATTAATAGCACAGACTTGCAAAAGAGTAAGAACGAGAAATTGATTACAAAAGTGTCCCTATTGTCATACAACTAACCGTTTTTGCTCATTTTTGCTCCTTTTCGCTAAACTTGCGTTTATGTAGAGACATATCTGTTTGGTCACGGGGCTCTTCTTGCAGTTTGGGAAAGCAACAAACGCTCGCGAGAAGCATTGGAGACTTACATATTCGACAAATTGAATGCCGATCATCAAAATGAAACAATAATAAAAACAATATCAACTAAAATTACTAACTTTATAAATTACATAAATAAACATTTGCCTCGATGCTGCCGGAACATAAAGAGATTTAGACAAAAGCACGCTACATATGTGGCTAGCCGGTAATATGACTATACTTTCTGATAGAAATAATTCCCCACAAAAGAAAGGTGGTCGTCCAAAATTGTCATATGAAGCTGCTGGTAAACGACTCAAAATAAAGTTGGCATCTGAACTTGCGGTAGAAAATGAAAATTCAACTCCTTTGTTACTACACGCTGCTAACATTTCCGACAGAAAATCAACAGAAAATGAAATTATTAAAAAAAGTCATAGAACTGAATCGCTGGCTCCGAGTCCAAAAACTTCTGAAAAGGCATTCGCTTTTTTTATGGAAAATGGATTTACTAAGCAGCAATACATAAATGTAAAACAAATTAGTAAACAACATGGCTGCGATATTTACCCCCCTTATTCGAAAATAGCTAAGGAGAAATTAAAATGTAGACCTGCTGGAATAGCATGGACCGAAAATGAAGCCAAAGTTTCCTTGCAAAACTTATTGAACCATTCCGCTTCACGAATATTACTGATGCAAAAGGAAGTTTGTGAAGTACTTTCAGATGTTACTCATTGTACTCTTATTTTTAGCTATGGTTTTGATGGGTCTACTGGTCACAGTTTATACAAACAAAAATTTAGCATCGCAGAGGGTCAATCTTTAGATGATTCTCTTTTTGTTACATCAATGATTCCTTTATAAATGATAGATCAGAAACAAAGGGTCATTTGGTTAAATAAATCGCCTCAGTCCATATGATTTTGCCGTTCTGTGAAAATTGCTTACGTAAAAGAAACAACGTCTCTTATATTAAAAGAAAATGAAAACTTGGACAATCAGATTAAAAACCTGGATATATACGTGCATCCTTATCAATCAGCCGAAATTTTATAGACGGCAAGGTGTTAAATATATTAACAGGAACGAAATCCTGTCAGTTGTGTCCAATGTGTGGGGCAAAGCCCACCCAGCTTCTTACTATTACTGATTTTAACTCCAAAACGTTTGATATGAAGCCACATACGGATCAATATGGATTAAGTTCCCTTCATGCGTGGATCCGCTTTTTTGAATTCTTGCTCAAAATATCGTACAGAATTGAGCTTAGAAAGTGTCATGTCAAGGGAAATGATAAAATCGAATTGGAGGCACGTAAACATAAAGTTCAAGCAGCGTTTTGGAATGATATGGGGCTTTATGTGGACAAGCCGAGACAAAACGGCAGTGGCAATACAAATGACGGAAATACGGCGAGGCGGGCATTCTGCAACCCAAAATTATTGTCCTCTATATTAGGAATAGATCACAGTTTGATTCAGCGCCTTCATGTAATTCTGATAAATACCCTATAAATTCGGAAAAATTCAAAATATTCTGTTCAGAAACTTTTTCTATGTATATGGCTAATTACTTTTGGTACCCCATGTCGCCAACAGTGCACAAAGTTTTAGTACATGGATACATAATCATTGAAAAATTGATTGTTCCTGTTGGCTCTTTAGCAGAAAGTGCATCAGAAGCAAGACACAAACTTTTTAAGGCTGACAGAAAAGATCATGCCAGAAAATGCAGCCGGGTTGACAATATGTCAGATGTTTTTCACAGAGCTATGGATTCGTCTGATCCCCTATTATCTAGTTTTTGCTCAACAAAAACCAACCGGATGCCTCTGCCAGCAGAGGTTGTAGATCTTTTGGATTCGCCAATCATATCCCCAGGCACAGAAGACACAGATGAAGAAAATTGTAACGATGATGTAAGTGACACTTTTGAAATAGAATTAGAGGAAGAGGTACCAGACGATATTGAAAACTAAAAAACAAGGAAAAAATAAAAAGAGTAAGTTAAAACTGTTGAGTTATTAAAAAAAATTAATCGAATTTTTTTTCAGTGTTCTTCAAATGTAACAATGGATCCCAAATATGTTACCGGTTTTTTTCTATAATGTAACACCAAATAGGATTAAAATTATAATTTATAATAATTACTTAATTTAAAATGTATTTTTAACCACTGTGCGGTGGACAAATTAAAAAAAAAACAAAAACCAAAATTTTTTTTAAGTTTAAATAATACACCAAAAAAAGTTTCAAGTCAATATCTTAAAAACTAGAGTTTATGCACCAAAAACGGTTTTTTTGCCCATAGTGCATTGGAAATAAACTTAAGAAGAGTTTGCATGCTTTATCCCAACTTTCTAGCTTTTATATGCATATGTAGGTAGGCTGGCGAACGGACGGATTTGACTAGTTCGACTTGGCTAGTAATATTACTCTATTTTTGGTAGTTTATTAACTATTTACTATTGCAATTACATATTAAACTATTTTAAATAGTATAGTACTATATTCATTGTTACATAACTATCTGCATTGGTAAATTTTACCAAGTTTTTCATTTGTGTAGTCAAGGCATTTCTTTACCTTCCGAGTCTAACGAATTGAAAACATAATTAAATCATTTTGTTATAACATTTGTGAAAAAAGTTTAACTTGTTATACCCGTTTCTCGTAGAGTAAAGGGGTAAACTCAGAGCTCGCAAATAACTGTTGACCGTTTTTCTTCTCGTTCTCTCGCTCTGAGCAAGAGACACTTGCTGTCATCATTTATGTTTTCTGTTGAGCGCTTTTCGTTGAGCTCGTTGTATGTTGCGTAAAGAGCGGAACGAGAAACGCTCGCACAATGACAGTCAACAAAAAAAACGATTGACCGAAAAACTCAACGCACATTCACATTCTTCTTTCTTTCACATTTACTTTCGTTGTTGTGAAAAAGAAATAATATAATTTGTTTAATACAACATTTTAAATTTATTTTCAAATGTTTTGGTTAACAAGTTCCATTTCGATTCCATATTCCATATAACAAATTGATATCAAAAAGCAATAAAAAGTTTCAGAATATGTTGTTTTTAAATTTTATTTTAACATTTAACATTTTTTATATGTGTTAAGCTTTATAACTAGAAAGGCGTTCAGATTCTCTGCACTAATCGAACTTCTTCGTTCACTTAATATAAAGTGTAAGGCTGAGAATGCCCGTTCGACGGAAACTTGCGTTGCAGGTGTCGCCAGCACAACTTGCGCTAGTGCACTTATATAAGGAAGCTTAAGCTGCAAGTCATTAAAAAATTCCAATACATTTGAATTTATTGGCAAGCGCCCAAAAGTAACGTCAAAGTTTTCGATGTCAGCATAAATTTTGACAAGTTTTGCAGAAACAGGATCTTTTTTGCTTTCTTACACTGTCTGAAAATCGTCCAAAAATGCCGAGAACAGCGACATCTCTTCAGATGAGGATTCGGTTGAAAGAGTTGCCGAGAATGAGGAGTCAAACATCTCTTCCCGCACAGGAGTTTCGAGCGCCGGAACATTTGGTGTTTGTGCCTTAAATAACAAAGCTCTAATAAGTATGAAATGTTTCTTGGATTTTAGTTTAGTACAAGTATTAGTATTTGACGAAGACAATGTTAATTATTAACATAGTTTCTTAAAATTACAACATACACAAAACAGGACCCAAAATTTAAACATTCTACGACATACAGGCTTAATTGTTTCAACTCAAATAAACGGAAAGCTATTTTTTTTAAATTAGCCTTTGCTAACGATTTCTGGTAGTTCGTCAACATACAATTTACCCGAGGATCCATGTAAATCGCTGCCAACAATGCTTCATTCTCTAACAACTTACTTTCTCTTATTTTTATCTGTGCCGATAGTTTTTTTTTAATCAAATTGTGGCTATTCTCGCATTTCAATTTTAGTTCCATCCATACTACGAAGAACTCACTATAAACTAAATTTTTGTCTTGTAGCTTTAGGGTTGCTTGATATGTATCACTGAAAGCGTCAATGTATGTACGTCTCGATCCGATCCCAATCGGGATCTGCACATAGCCAGGAAATTCTTTAGGTCCAATAATCTTTTTAGCATTAAATAGGTTGAATTCCACCTTGTACCAACGTCGAGCGATGGTATGTTTCTTTGGTTCTCAATTAAGATACGTTTGCATAGATTTTATAAATAGTATGTATATATATATACAAATATATATATATAAATATATATATACATATATAAATATATATATATATATATAAATATATATATATACATATATCTTATCATTACTTACCTATATGTTTCTGTGCGCAGCGATTTGCCTAATGTGCGACAGGAACTTATTTTATCGGCGATCTCCTTTGCCTTGTTTATCGAATACACACAGTTGCAGAGTGTGTGCTGCACATCTCACAAGGTGTATATTAGCAAGTTCAATAGTATCCAGTTCATTCAGAAGATTCTCACTTTCTGTGTCTTCTTCAAAAAGGGATTCCTCTGTGGCATCATTTAACACTTGGACGGCCTTTATCATGTTTCGCCCATTATCAGACGTAACGCTGTGTGCATCAATATGAAAATTCTTAAAAAAATCACATATTTTCTTAAAATTGTATGTAGTTAAATTTTTACCTGTAGATTTGATCTAGTGATATTCCATAATCATCTAAGACTTCTAGTATTTTGTTCTTCATGTATATTCCAGTGTGAGATCCCCCGAGCTCAATCATGCCTAAAGTCTTTACAATAATCTTGGTTTTAGCCAGGCTTGCGTGGACCATTTGCAAATTTGTTCCCAGAATGGCTTTATCCATTCTGGTGGCAACATCGATTTTCAAGGACACCAGCTTTCCCTTCACAAAAGCCCTTATGTTTTCTTTGACAAACTGCTCTTTGACTGACACAAAATTCATAATATTTCGAGACGTTACAGGGTTCATGCCAAGTGCATTATATATTGGATCCATAATTTCTTTGAACCCTTCACTGTCTAGAAATATAAATGGTTTTCCGTCCGTGGTTACTATTTTAATCAAAGAAGAAACAATTGCTTCTTCGCTCGCTTGATACGATATTTTTCGTTTTTCTTCACATTGGGTTGATTGTGAATGTCCAGAATTGTTCCACTCATTGAAAACGTCCATATGCTTCGTTGTTAAATGCCGTCTAAGGTTTGTTGAATGATTGCCGGACAATTTAATACCACAAACACTACATATTGACTTGTTCTCTTCCAAATTAAATTTAAAGAATTGGTGCACTTTTTTATTCAATTCTCTTCCCATTTTACAGAACAAAATAATTGCACAACTTCACACACTCAGTTCACGATTGCAATTAATATATTTCGGCTGCAAAACCGACGATTAACGATTTGCTTGCCTATGCGTGTGAGTGTATACCAAACATACGCAAAAGACCGTTTGCCTCACCTGAACAGGACAAAACGGTCCTGGAACAACCATAACAAAACAGAATAGAAAAAAAAGGTTTCGCTCTGAGCGCGAGCGAGCTCATTCAAGAACCCATAAATCGGTTGCTCTCTGAGTCTTTTCGTAAAGAGTCAGGAAAAGACACATATTTCCAGACAACGAGAAACGGTCGACAGTTATTTGCGAGCTCTGGGTATACTAGATTCTTCGGAATGTAAGTAACAGGTAAGGGAAGCGTTTGCGATCCCATAAAGTATATATATTCTTGATCAGGATCACTGGCCGAGTAGATCTAGCCATGTCCGTCTGTCGGTATGAATGCTGTGATCTCGGAAACTATAAAAGCTGCAATACTGGGATAGGCATTCAGACTTTAGAGTTGGTTTCGTCAGTGTGCCACGCCCACTCTAACGCCCACAAGCAGTCGATCTGGTCTGCCACGCCCACTCTAACGCTGAGTAATGGGTATCTGATGGTCGAGGTACTCGACTATAGCGTTCTCCCATTTTTTCTTTTTAATCTATTTACTTATTCTCACGATTCAGTTTAACCTTTTTTTTCTGCCATTATCAACTCACTTAAAATCAATTAGCAATCTGTTGATAAGATTGTGCAGAACATGTTCAGGAATTTATTGATACAACTTTAAAAACTTAATTATCCCTTCATCGATAAGGAAGTCTGATATTTCACTCATCAAATTATTTTTCTAAATGTTCTTGTTTTAAGAAAGGTTAAAAAAGAGCCCATTAAAAAATTGTGTTTTTGTAATGTTCACATTTTTCTATAATTAAGGTCAAATTTGTCGACCACACAGAGAAAAAAAGGTTACCGTACCCGTTTGACATAGCCTCTTCAATTTTCACATATAACTTTTTATACCCGTTACGCATAGAGTAAAATGGTATACTAGATTCATCGGAAAGTATGTAACAGGTAAAGGAAGCGTTTCCGACCCCATAAAGTAATAAATACTAAACTGGCAGCACTCAGGGAGTCTGACGCAGATAAATATATACAAGGTGCAAAGCGTGTGTTCCCAATAATGGACACTATATTTGCTTATAACTTTTTAATGAATGAAAATTTTTCAAAAATAATAAGTAATGTGTATTCTAGAAGGGTACCCTGCTGAATCAAACTTGTGCTGCGTAAGAAGATCACGAATCTACATGCCAAATCCCAAATTTGGGGCCGTTCATAAACCACGTGGACAAATTTTAAGCACTTTTTGAACCCCCCCTCCCCCATGTGGACAATCGTGGATTTTTAACTAGCCCGAACCCCCCCCCCCCCCCCCTATTTTTGTCCACGTGGACTTTTTTATTAAAAAGTTTTTTAATTTAAATTTAAAAGTCGAATAAATAACATATAGGCTAAAATTAAGTTTTTACTATGTCCACGTGGACATTTACCTCGACCCCCCCTCCCCCCACGTGGAAAATAGTGGACTTTTGATTAAAATGTACACTACTGGCCAAAATAATAAGTACACGCTTTTTATTAACATAAGGAAAAAGATAAAGATAATTTTAGTTTTCAAACATATTAAAGATTATAAAAAAAGATAACATAAGCATTTTACTATTCAAATAAAAATGTTGTGATCGATTATGTCTAAAAAACATAAAAAAGGGTTGGCCAAAATAATAAGTACACCAATTCTACAACGTAAAAAACTTAAAACTTATTAACTTTTTTCCACTTTTTTCTTAGTATGTGTAAACTTATGCTAATATCCTGTATATCCACCTTTATTTTGTAGGACTTTTGCGATTCTTTTGGGCATGCTAGCAATAAGTTTGCGACAAGTGGGCACTGGAATCTCGTACCAGGTTTTTTGGACATATTGCCACAATTCTTCGGCATTTCGAAAAGTTTTTGTCCCAATTCGACGCTTTAATTCTCCCCATAAGTGTTCTATAGGATTTAAGTCAGGAGACTGACTTGGCCAACTCATTAAATTTACCTCATTTTCTGTAAACCAGGCCTTGACTAACTTTGAGGTGTGTTTAGGGTCGTTGTCTGGTTGAAAGACCCATCTCAAGGGCATGTTTTCTTCAGCATATGGTAACATAGTGCCGGCCAATATATCCTTATAACCAAATTGGGTCATGGTATCAGATATGCGATGTATTGGACCAACGCCAGCCCAAGAAAAACAGCCCCAAACCATTATACATCCGCCTCCGTGCTTTACGGTCTTCTTTGTGTACCGGACGTCAAGTTCTTTGCCTTTTGGGCGTCGCACATACATATCTTCTGGAGTCATTTCCAAAAAGATTTATTTTTGTCTCGTCGCTCCATAAAACATTATTCCATTTTGAAGACCCATGTGGCCCAGACCAAGCTATATGATTTTTGGCAAACTGTTCCCTCATCTGAAAATTTCCTCGAAGTAATGGAACATTTCTAGCTATACGTCCTGGTAGGTTAGCTTCTTCCAGTCTACGAAGAACCGATCGGGATGATATTGCATTGTCAATTTCACCACTGATCGCCTTTGAAGACATGAAAGGATCCTTTTTTGCAAGACTGACGATGCGGGTATCCGTTGTGTGTGACGATTTCCTCTTTCGGCCTCGTTTTTCACCAAGGACTTTTGATTTTAAGGCATTCTGAACAAAACATACTGAACGCCCAAGGCTTTTTGCTATTTCCCGGAGAGATTTCCCTTCTTTCTGAAGATTCACAGCAATCTGCCTTTCTTCAGCTGTGCAATGCTTTCTTCGGCCCCTCTAGATACATTTTTTGGCTTGGATGTACTTAAATATTTAAGGAGTCAATAAAAATCAACATACCTTAGCCCAATTCTTTGTTTGATCCTTTAAAATTGATAAATAACTTAAGTGTACTTATTATTTTGACCACACCAAAAGCGCTCATTCGGCACAAATTTAAGCCTAGCACTATATAAACGGGGTTCCCCGCTTTCATTTTTTATTTAAATGTTTTGCAACACTGTAACCTCTCAAATTATAATCGATTGGCAGGGCTGTATTCGAAAATAATCGAGCAATATCGCAAATAAGAAAGACGATACCTATGTACTTATTATTTTGGCCAGTAGTGTATATCCAAGTAAGGGAATCGACCTTGGGAGCAATCGGTTTGTCACTTGCATATCTCCATTTACTTCCCACTCCCTTTAGCTGAGTAACGGGTATTGAAGCCGTCGGTTGAAACGTTATCTGTTGTTTTGGTATATTTGTTGCTAGTATTTTTTTAACACCTCTTAACGAAGTACAAAAATAGTGACATACGCACCTTCAAAATACAAAAGCAGATCTAAGTATAACAATTGTTGATTAGGAACACTAGCCGAGTCGAACTAGCTTTGTCCGTCTGTCTGTCCGTATGAACGCTAAGATCTCGGAAACTATAAGAGAATGTTGGGAATTAACATGCAGATTCTTTAGCAGGGTGCCACGCCCACAATCCGCCATAACGAGTATTTTAACAACCTAAAAACATTTGGCAACATGGATTACAATTTTCCATAGATTGTGTTCCGCCCAAACGATTTCTTGCGTTTTTCGCGTCCATATCAATCTATCAAATTCAAGGCTACTGGCATTTTTTTCATGAAAAGTATACTTTTCTTGCAAATGCGAAAAAATTTTAACTGTCCACGAAAAAGGTCCCCTCACTACGGTTTAAAGACACCAAAGACATTGTACATACATACATATGTACAATGAACATTGCATGTTTATTTTCTGTACTATTGACATACATATATATATATATATATATATATATATATATGAGTATAGTGCATATTTACAAACTTAATTAATTTCAGTAAATGTCAGAGAGATAAAGTGAAAGGAATTCAAGCAAAAGGAGTTTGATTGGGTAACGGTTGCTCATAAATTGTAAGATATTCTTGCAATTTTAATCTGATAATGTTGAGAGCACGCCTTGCCTCCTGACCCGAAAGTGCAAAAGAGAGTGTGACGAAGTTTATTTAGGAGAGCGAAAAAGCGCAGGAAATACATACAGCCGACGAGACTACCTTATATAGTTGTATCTGGGATTAAACATTGTCGCAAAATCGTTACTCTCTGGGCAGTAATCTATCATGCACGATCGATCAATGGCTCTCCTACCATGCCCACCACCCCCTTCCTCATCCATGCTCCCAGAGAGATTAATAAAGTACAGAGAGAGAGAGAGCCTTCTTCGGAAAACGTAAACGTAGCTCCTCCAAAAGCACCAACTTTTATCACGCACACGTACATACATCCAGACAAAATTGATTTTTTCTTTTTTTAATAATAAGTTTCATTAGAGCAAAAAAAAAATTTTTAAATTCATTAGTTCTGAAATGCTTAAAAAAGAAAATTAAATTTTTGTGTACTTTCACTAAAGATTTATGTTTATTGAAGGGATTTTTGATGGTATTTGTGGTACACATACATATGTAGGTAGTCGCAATTCTGAATTGATTTTCCTCAGTGTTGGCTTGAGAGAGGGGAAGAGCCGATTGGGCTGAGAGCGAGAGCATGGTCATCAGAGCGCGAGATACGATTTGTAGGCTACTTCATTTGCCGATAAAACGCTCTCCACTCGCTCACCGCTCGCCACTGAACAAAATTTCTGGAACGAGTCACACGCACGTTCCCCCACTACAGAAAAAACAACAATAACAAGTCGTAGTCACAGAAATCCGAATTTAATTTATTTTTCCAAACAGAGATCATAAATTAATCAAAACATTGTTACAACATAAACGATTTTCGGACTCGGACTCTCTATTTTTGCTGAGAGGGCAAAATAAGTCAGTAAAAGAGGAGGCCAACAACAAAATGTGCCGCTGCTGTCAAAAGTAAGTAAATACTATTTTCCATCTCGCTTACTAAGTTATGTCGTGTTCGGGCCAACAAATTACTTGGGTAACAATCGAGTTGCTTTTTCTTACTATTTTTATTTCTAGCTGTTGGGAAGATTTCTATTGGAACTGCTTCGAGGAGCGTTTTTGCTACGACGAATCGATCGGTGAGTTTTTCGAGCCCAAGGGTTTAGTTTCAGCATTAGCCTTAATTTGGGCAGTTGGCGGTTACGGTTAGCTGAAACGGGTACCTCAAGTAAATACTACCCAGCTTTTTCTCTTCGCACAAGTAGATCTTGAAACGCAAAATGCGACTACGATACGTTCGCGATTTAGCGTGTTTGGCATTTGGATCAAGTACTAGTTCAAAAAAGGAAAAAAAACACAAAAGGGTTAAATAAAAGAAATAATAGAATGTTCGCTAAAAATTCAGGTAGTTGATATAGGGGAGCTTATAAAGTTGCTATTCTATAGACCTTGGTTAATTCCAATAATATTTAAAAGTAAATTTTTATTTTTAACTTTACTTCTTGAGGGAGTCTTCAGTTTATTTCGCCACTAAATTGATAAAAAAATTTTAAACTGGAATATACTAAAAATTAATTGTACATTTGTTCTTTAAAGAAATTCAATGCCTATCACAAATATCAATAGGTGAAACACACTATAAAGTCCACTTGGCTTTTATTTTATTAGGTAATTTCAACTCTTTTATCGTCTTCAGCCAACTACAATCCCGAGGAGGACGAAGACTACTTGGAATCCAGAAAGAATGGCCAGATTATTGGGCGCATTCAGCCTACATCGACGGATAATAATAATTTGTTGACGGCGCCCCAGCCAATTTGCGATCAGCCGCAAATGAGGCAAGGCATCTCGAGCTTGGGCCTGAGCCTAATGAGGTACTAACATATAGATAAAACTCCCATATAGATCCTATCCAACGTGCCAAAAATCGCATTTCGAACTATGTTTGCGCGATTAATTGGCAAAATCGTGTTGGCTTACTGTTGACAATATCAATTTACGTTTTATATATATATACCTTCCTTTGCGCAACATTAAGCGCCAAGATTCACGAAGAGGACTATCGGCGGGAGACTCAGATCAATGTGCCCAATTTGGGACCGGAGATATTGGCGGTGTTTGCCAATTCGCAGATCTTCCAGGACCATCAGCCCACCAAGCTAAACCGGATCAGCACTAAGACCTATCTAGCCGGGATACATTCGCCGCATCGCGAGATGCCAACGACTCCGAGACCCAGTGATCAGGATCGATTGTTGCGACGTCTGGAAGGTAATGATGGCCCCAGTGGTGCGCACACCCCTCTTTTGGGTTTTGCTGGTAATGGTAAAAGCAGCGGCAAGAGCACCCGCAGCAGCAGCATCGTTTCCAGCGGTGTGCCCAAGGTCAAGTTCTATCTGAACTGATCTTCAATGGGTTTTTGGGTTCAATGGGAACTAGCAGTATTTGTGCCAATGATTCATGAACTTTCGCAAAGCACATAAAAACAATAAGAGAGTGACCAAAATCGCCAAAATGTGACTTAATATAAATAAATAATTAGGGTTAATTATCACCAATATTGGACTTACACAACGATATACAATATTCAAAAAAGACAGAAGCGCTAGTGCCGATGGCATTTAGAGTTATCTTGACCACTAAGCAGCCCAACTGATGTTAATTTAGACATATTAGATTTAAGTCTTCATTGTTAGTCCTTTTAATTGTTTAGTCCTAAGAAAGAAACAGTATGCGGTGGTTTTCATAAAGTTTTTAATTACAAAACGACTGGGTTTCAATATGCTTATAAAGGCACCCATAGGTACACCTATGTAGATATTACAGATTGTGAATGTTATGAAATATTTTAAAAAGATATAATTTCGTCATGCCTTTCACTCATTTTTGCCAGCGTTTAAACAAGTTAGCACTTTCAACAATTGCTTTGTTTGTCAAGTTGGCATTACTCACATATTCCACTGATTCTTGAGATCGGTTAGTCATACACACCTTTAGAAAGATTTCGCAGAAATTTGAAGTAAAGCTCTGAGTAAAATACTTAGTAATTTAGTTTCCATAAGAAAAGTACTTGCTAAAACTGCGATACGCTGAGTACGAGATTTATTAAAATCGTAATCATTATGAGTCTTATTTTAAAACTCAAAAAATAATCTTTTTTTTTTTATTTTAAAAAATATTACTCAGAAATATTCATCATTTTTGAGTTTTATAATAAAAATCAAACACAATTATTCTTGTTTGGAAAAAAATAAAGATAAAAAAAATAATTATTGTTTCTGAGTGTTATTTTTATACCCGTTACTCGTAGAGTAAAAGGGTATACTAGATTCGTCGGAAAGTATGTAACAGGCAGAAGGAAGCGTTTCCGACCCCACAAAGTGTATATATTCTTGATCAGGATGTCCGTCCGTCTGCCTGTCCGTCCGTATGAACGCTGAGATCTCGGAAACTATGGGAGCTAGGCTATTGAGATTTGGCGTGCATGTTCCTGAGCTTCTTACGCAGCGCAAGTTTGTTTCAGCAGAGTGCCACGCCCACTCTAACGCCCACAAACCGCCGAAAACTGTAGCTCCTACAGTTTTGATGCTAGAATAAAAATTTTAACTTAAATGTATTGTTCTCTTCAATACCTATCGATTGACCCAAAGTTTGTTACGCCCACTTTAACGTCCACGAACCGCGAAAACCTGTGACGCCCACAATTTTCATGCTAGATAAAAAACTTTAACTGAAATTTATTGGTCTCGACAATACCTATCGATTGGTCCAAAAATTTGCCACGCCCACTCTAACGCCCATAAGGCTTAAATCTGTATACCGCCGGTAGGTGGCGCATTTTAATCTCGCTTTGCTGCTTGCATATCTCTATTTAGCTGAGTAACGGGTATCTGATGGTCGAGGTACTCGACTATAGCGTTCTTCCTTGATTTTTTTTATCAAAATTAAACTTATTTTGAAACCACGACTTCCCCATACCGATTTCTGGAAATATTTTTTAGTAGACCTATAAAGAAAACACAAAGGTGTATCACCTAGATAACAAAATGGTTATATTGGCCTTTTGCATCATTGCAGATGATATTATTGATATTGTTGGTAACACAAATGCTTCTAACCTAACCAAGCTAGTATATATGTATGTTTATGCTTTCACACATCCCAAGCGAAATAAACTTGTCCCTTTCTCTTGTTCTACTTAAACTAACTAACAAATTAAAACTGCAAATTATTCTAATCAAATGTAATCAACATTTAACACAAATACCAATATGTTTGAAATGTCTTTAGTCAAGTTGAGCATATGATTCACACAATATAGAAGCTAATCCTCTTGTTCATAAGAATTCGCGGTTACTGAAGAATTGATTTAATATCAAACCAACCATTCAGTGATCCACACAATCTAATGATAAATATTATGTGAAAGTTTATCTTCTTGATCTTAAAAATCCGCGGTTTCCTAAGAAAAAGGGGATTAACTTGTTGACTATCAGATTGTGTAGATCACAAGAATCCGCGGTGAATAAAAATTGATACAGCGGATTTTTTAGAGGAGGGGTATTTTTACCCGTTACTCGTAGATTAAAAGGGTGTATTAGAGTCGTCAGAAAGAATGTAACAGGTAGAATCGCTTCCTTCTGACCCTTTAAAGTACATATATTCTTGATCAGGATTACTAGCCGAGTCGATCTAGTCATGTCCGTCTGTCCGACCGTATGAACTCTGTGATCTCGGAAACTATAAAATCTAGAAATTTGGGATTGGCATGTCGATTCGTGATCTTTTTGGACAGCGCAAGCTTGTTTCAGCAGGGTGCTAGGCCGACTCTAACGCTCACAAACCGCCGAAAGCTGTGGCGCCCAATTCTTTCGTTATAGAAACAATATTTTAACTGAAATGTATTGTTTTCATCAATACCTATCGATTGACCCAAAAAAAGTTTGCCACGCCCACTTTAACGTCCACAAACTTAAATAAATCTTAAATATGATCGCGGCTATCTTAAAAACTATCAAAGACAGAGAATTGGAATTTCAGATTTAGATTGGCATTTAGAATATGCCACGCCCACTGTAACGCCCAATCCTGTGGAGCCCACAATTTAAATACTAGAAAAAAATTTGTTTTTCTGATAGTTGAGGCAATTGACTATTGCGTTCTTCCTTGTTATCTTTAGATTTTGTGGACCATTGATTAAAAAGTTGGTTCAATATTTATACGCGGTCATTTCTTACAGTCCCTGGTTTACAAACAATATTTATACACAAAAACAAGGAAGAAAGCTATAGTCGAGTACCTCGACTATCAGATACCCGTTACTCAGCTGAAGGGATTAAAGGGAGATGGAGACACGCAAGCAGCAAAACGAGATTGTAATGCGCCACCTACCCGCGATCTCAATATATGGTTATGTTAGCGGCAGACAGATTTAAGCGGTATGAGCGTTAGATTGGGCGTGGCATTTTTTGATCTTTACTACATTTTATTAAAATGAGAACGGAAGTTATAATACCCTTGCAGATTTTATGTGACTAAAGTAAGATAATTAAAAATAATTAAACATTTAACAACTAAATATAGGAAAACATCAACATTACAGTTAATAAAACAGCAATGGATATTTACACGTTATAACGAAGCGCACAAGCAGAGATGTGCTATATAATATATTATATATATATTATTGACAATACTAACTTACATGATATAGCGGTGGGGCCTGCGGCTAAGTTGGTTTACAATGCTTATAGAGTGGTATATTACATACTAGAAGAGTCGTATCTTAAACTAATATTATAATTAAATATTTATACTCGTTATTCGTATAGTAAAAGGGTATATTGTGTTCGTCGGAATGCACATTTATTCTTAGTCAGGACACTAGCCGAGTCAATCTAGCCATTTCTGTCTGTCCGTCCGTCCGTATTAACGCTCAAATCTCGGAAGCTATAAAAGCTAAAACCAAATACCAATTTTAATGTTGTTCAAAGTTGCTGAATTTTGAGGACCATACAGTTTATAGAAAAAAGGGAAAAATATAAATAAAAAAAGTTTGCCCTTAATTTTCAATTATACAAAGTGCAAAGTATTTCAATGTACCTTTCTAACGAAATATAACACAAGCACGTAGCTTTAAAATTCACAAGTTACGGGTGTACGAAATTTAGCTATTTATAGCTGTCTTCCCACCAAACGAGCGAGTTTTTTCCAAAGTGGTAGAACTAAAGATTCTTATATTAAGCTGTTTATCATCCACTCAAATTTCCAGGACCTTAAAATAGAGTTTGGGTACGCACAAAAAAGTTTAATGCTCAGGCAGTGTTAGATGTTATTAAATGTGACCATTTTTGTTTATTAATAACTTTAAAAGGTTTGTATGCCAAAAGTTGAGGAATCTCAGGGGCTAAACACTTTAAAACCGTTTTTAAGAAAAAGAAAGCTAAACAAAATCAGAATAAAAACAAGGAAGAACGCTATAGTCGAGTACCTCGACTACCAGATACCCGTTACTCAGCTAATGGGACCAAAGGGAAATGGAGATATGCAAGCAGTAAAGCGAGATTAAAACAAGGAAGAACGCTATAGTCGACTACCTCGACTATCAGATACCCGTTACTCAAAGGGAAATGGAGATATACAAGCAGCAAAGCGAGATTAAAATGCGCCACCTACCGGCGGTAGACAGATTTAAGCGTTATGGGCGTTAGAGTGGGCGTGGCAAATTTATTTTTGGATCAATCGATAGGTATTGACGACACCAATACATTTCAGTTAAAATTTTTTATCTAGCATGCAAATTGTGGGCGTCACAGGTTTGTGGGCGTTTAAGTGGGCGTGGCAAACTTTTTTTTTAGGTCAATCGATAGGTATTGATGAGAACAATACATTTCAGTTAAAATTTTCTATCTAGCATCAAAACTGTAAGAGTTACAGTTTTGGGCGGTTTCTGGGCGTTAAAGTGGGCGTGGCAGTCTACTGAAACAAACTTGCGCTGCGTAAGAAGCTCAGGAATCTGTACGCCAAATTTCAATAGCCTAGCTCTCATAGTTTCCGAGATCTCAGCGTTCATCCGGACAGACAGACGGACAGACGGATATGGCTAGATCGACTCGGCTAGTGATCCTGATGAAGAATATATATACTTTATGGGGTCGGAATCGCTTCCTTCTGCCTGTTACATACTTTCCGATAATCTAGTATACCCTTTTACTCTACGAGTAACGGGTATAATCATGTTAAGAATTGTACAACGTTTTGGGACAAACTGACAAACAAAAGAAATGAGAAGTCCCCCAAAATCTTGTATTGCGTTTAACTATTGAATCGTATTTTAACAAATGAGGTGTTATTCGACGCATAGTGAGAGAACAATTAGACTAGTAAACGTATGCATTTATCCCCAAAGGCCCCAACAGATATTCATTTTTTAAATTTTAATTTTCACTTTCATTTTTCTTTCTCCCAAACCAATTGATTTGTATACCCTTGCAGAGGGTATTTCAGTCAGAAGTTTGCAACGCAGTGAAGGAGACGTTTCCGACCCCATAAAGTCAGCATCACTAGACGAATCGATCTAGCCATGTCCGTCTGTCCGTCCGTTTCCACTCAAGCTAATCTCTCAGTTTTAAAGTCTAAAGTCTAAAAGTCTTCTTTCTTTTACAGGTAGTATATAAGTCGGAACCAGCTGGATCGGACAACTATATCTTATAGCTCACATACGAATAACCGGAAAAAAAATGTTAAAAAAATATTTCTTTGGTGTTTGTTAATATATAACATCCTACGCTTGGAAATAACATTTTTTAATTAGTTATGAATTTCGACCTTAATTTTATCAAAGTCGGACGAGTCATAGAAACGATCGGAAAATTGGTGGGAAAATAATATGAAACAAATTATAGCTTCGGTGTTTTTTGACATATTATCTTATACTATTGGAAATATTATTTTGTATTTTTAAGAATTTCGAATAAATTTAATAATTATAACTGCAAGGGTATACAACTTTCTTTCTTGCTTTTAACATATAACCTCCTACGCTTGGATATAATATTTTTTATTTAGTTCTAGATTTCGAATTTAATTTATGATATATATCATATAGCTGCCATAGGAACGATCGGAAAGTTGGTGGGAAAATAATATGAAACATATTATAGCTTCGGTGTTTTTTTGATATATTATCTTATACTATTAGGAATAAACTTTTTGTATTTTTAAGAATTTCGAGTTAAATTTAATAATTATAACTTCGGCTTGCCAAAGCTAACTTCCTTTCTTGTTTTAAAGACTTGGTATGCAGTCCTTTTAGTTTTTGCGATACCTTTCGGTTGATGTATCACTCGTTACGATCGGACTATGACAGTAGATTTTCATTTTATCGCCTTCGCAGACTCTCCTGATGCGCTTTGTCACTACGTGGACTGTCGTGCACAGTGATATGTTGACTGTTAAATGAAACCTATAATAAAAAATTAATAATACTTATTTATGTATACATGTGTATATTATCAGCTTTTGCATGCTAACTATCTATTCCTCACTTTTTCTGAGCTGATAAAAAATAATCAACAAAGAAGTCGTCAAAAAATGTTAGAGCACATTGACTTGACATTTCTTTTTATAGAATGTATATATTCAAATGTGCCTCAGAGCTGATTTCGGGTAGAATTTATAAAGCGCTTAGCGAAATCGACGTGCCACACCCGTTTATCTTATTTTGCTAAGGTCTTTTAAAAGGAAAGTCAAATTTGGGAATTTTTTGTGACGAACGATAAAAATTTTGAACCTTAATATGTAGCATTTTTGTTTAATCAAGTTCAAAAAATCTATTTTTCGCACTGTGTTACAAAAACAAACAACTTCAATCGAAATTTTAACATCCTTTGAAATAGCTGTATTCCAGATATGACAAGAAAGGAAGTTAACTTCGGCAAGCCGAAGTTTGTATACCCTTACCGTAAATATTAAATTTAATTCGAAATTCTTAAAAATACAAAACATGATAATCCCAATAATATAAGATAATATGTCAAAAAACACCGAAGGTATAATTTATAAACATTTATTTGTGTATAATAGTCGTCCGATTCAGAGCTTTTTAAAAAATTTTATTTCCAAGCCTAGGAGGTTATATGTTTAAAAACAACAAAGATATAATGTCTATTTTTTTTTGTAATCAAAAAATTATTCTTAATTTTTATACCCGTTACTCGTAGAGTAAAAGGAAAGTATTCGTCGGAAAGTATGTAACAGGCAGAAGGAAGCGTTTCCGACCCCATAAAGTATATATATTCTTGATCAGGATCACTAGATGAGTCGATCTAGCCATGTCCGTCTGTCCGTCTGTCTGTCTGGATGAACGCTGAGATCTCGGAAAGTATAAGAGCTAGGCTATTGAGATTTGGCGTGCAGATTCCCGAGCTTCTTACGTAGCGCAAGTTTGTTTCAGCAGAGTGCCACGCCCACTCTAGCGCCCACAAACCGCCCAAAACGGTGGCTCCTTCAGTTTTGATGCTAGAACAAAAATGACTAAATGTATTGTTCTCATCAATACCTTTCGAATGACCCAAAAAAAGTTTGCCACGCCCACTTTAACGCCCACAAACTTCAAAAGATCGTAAATATGAACGTAGATATCTTGGAAACTATCAAAGATAGAGAATTGGGGTCTCAGATTTAGATTCCATAGCCTTGAGCGCAGCGCAAGTTTTTTACCCGAATATGCCACGCTCACTCTAACGCCTACAAACCGCCCAAGCCTGTGACGCCCACAATTTTCATGCTAGATAAAAAATTTTAACTGAAATGAATTGGTCTCGTCAATACCCATCGATTGATTTAAAAAAAATTGCCTCGCCCACTTTAACGCCCATAACGCTTAAATCTGTCTATTTTAACTGAAATGAATTGGTCTCGTCAATACCCATCGATTGATTTTAAAAAAATTGCTTCGCCCACTCTAACGCCCATAACGCTTAAATCTGTCTACCTCCGGTAGGTGGCGCATTTTAATCTCGCTTTGCTGCTTGCATATCTCCGATTCCCTTTGGTCCCTTTAGCTGAGTAACGGGTATCTGATAGTCGAGGTACTCGACTATAGCGTTCTTCCTTGTTAATTTTGAAAATACTCAACAAGGTGAGAATAGATTGTTTCTTGGGATTCTCTGAAGTTGTATTTTAAAATATAGCAAACAATATTACGAACAATTAACAATAAAAACCTCTGATTTCACAGAACAAGACTAAATTGTTTCCTGGATTTTTTAAAATACTTACACAACACAGAAATTGTCATTGCGTTCTATAGCTGATTTGTAATGACCTTTCCGATTCGACAGTTAATGGGGAAGAAACAAAAATATGTATTTCGAGTGACCCAAAATTTTTTTAGCTAAATAAGGTTGGAATATGAACAAACCAAATTCTGCTGGAAATGAACTTTGTTTTATCTCAAATATTAAAAAATATACATGGTATAATGTAGACAGATATACAAAATATTCTGGGTATTCCCTAAATTGTTGAATTGCTGAATTGTTGAATTTTGATCAGCTGTTAATCAGCTGTTCCATACAAAGTCAACTGTCAAAAATTTCAGCAATTCAACAGCCTCGGGGCTGTTGAAAATTTTGTTGAATTGCTGAAAATCAGAGTTGTCGCTGTTCTCGACTAAAAGTAAGTATGTAACTCTAGTCACTTGTAAGCCTGGAGGAAGTGCATCGTATAAAATATGCAAATAAAGGATATCTGATAGGATGCTGCCTGTTAGCAGTTCTAATAGTTTAGTTTTTTGGCTTATTCTCGGCATTTTCCTTAATTTAAAACATAATCTTCGGGAAACACAGCCTGGCAATTTGACAATCTGACAAACAGCAGGCATTCCTAAAATTGAAAATTCAACAGGGAACTTTTAGGGTCGTTCCCTTAATTGCTAAAATTTTCTGTTGAATTTTCAACAATTCAGAAATTCAACAATTTAGGGAATACCCTGATTGTTACTAGTTTAGTGATATTTTAGAGTAAGTTTAGTTATATTATTTAGTCTTAAAAAAATAGTTTATAAGTCACATTGTTTTCAAAAAATAATGTATAAATCCCTTTTCTTATCGAAATTATGGTTTTTATCCTAAAATACATTTTGAAACCGCGATAAGTTTGTATTTTACAGCTGTTTGTTTTTAAAAGTTCACTGTGCATTTGCGTATAAGAAATAAATCTTGGCAAATATTGACTGCATCAGCATGATTAATAGTAAAAAAGTAAAAAATATTACAGTTAAAGAAAAGGAGTGGCTTATATTTAGAAACACAGTACTAATAATATAACTTAAATTGGAAAAAAAACTTTAGTTTTGTAATAAATTTTTCCTCAGACTTATTCTTATCTGCCCATACCTTTCCTAATCCGTTTATGCGTCTTACTTGTCATCTGTCCAAGGCCTGTCTACACTTATAAAATACTTTCATTTACTTAATTCGTTAAGTGTTTTGGTTTTTAAATTGGGTTTATTAAAACCACGAAAAAATGATTGCTGGAAGGAAATACCACTGAGTAGGAACTCGTGAATGTCAAAATTGTTTTAAGATAAATTTCGATTCTTTTTACAGGCGATGATACGGATGCAAGAACAGGATCGACGGACAAGCGAATTACATTCACTTTGGCGCCCAGTTCCGCTGAATGCTCTCCTTCGGGAAGCCAAACGACCCTTACTCCCAAGAAATTTGAAGCCATTGCCGAAGAGGAGAAGGAGGATGTAAAGGCCGAAGAGGAGGTAGTGCTGCGACCTAGACTGATCGACCGCCATCCCCACTTGTTGTCCAATCCCAGCGTTCTTCGATCCGCTAAAAGCGTTCCGCACATGAATGTACGATCGTCGGCCAGCGAAACGGATATATTCTCAATTAGCGGCACCATGACCGGAAGCAGCCAAATCAGCATGACGCCCGAGGTGCCCTCCATATCGTTCAACAATCTGCCGAAAAACTACGAAGACACGCCCACCATCGAAAAATACAGGGTATCACAGAGTCTTTATTCCATCCAGACGGCAAATGCAGCTCGGGCCACCCAAGATGATTACTCGATGCCACGCTATTTCCGTCGATCTGCCATGCTTCTGACCCAGAGCTCCGAAGTTCTGCCGGGTTCCAGTTCAATGGTCTCCATGTCGCCATCAATCACCTCTTCTTCTGCTTCGCCGGGATCGTCCAAGGACGAGCTGAGACGACCCGAGAAGGAGAAGAACAAACGACTCCAGATGCTGCGCGGAAATCTCCCGCCCCTGCTTATCCACTCTGTGTCTTTCAAACGCAACCGTGACGAGGGAAAGCAAATGCACTAGTTGCATTCCCCAAATATGTGTATATTTTTAACCCCTTTGTCTATGTTTACTGTTTAAAATATCTTAGCTTTTCGTTCTGCTCACGCGTTTTCTGTTTTATGTTCTAAGCGAAGATTTTGTCTATCCAATTCACTCAGTATTCGGATGAAGTATATTTTACGTTTGATTACAAAATAAATTATGTTTTACCCCCCAAAAACTGTATGACTTTTTTAAAGAAGATAGAACTTATTTCTCAACTTTTTCAGTTAAAATGCCAAATAGTAAAAACCTCAAAAAGGTGAGGGACAAATGAAAAGAATTAGAATGAAATTTCGCAACTGAAAGATATACATTTTGTTTCATCTAAAATTTTATACAAATAAAATAATAAGAATGACATTTCGCGACTGAAAGATATACATTTTATTACATGCAAAATTTTATTTAAGAAAAAAAATAAAACATTATGTATTTCTCCCCGACGGGGAATTGAACCCCGGTCTCCCGCGTGACAGGCGGGGATACTAACCACTATACTATCGAGGATCTAAGGCGTTATGTGTCAAAGTCGCTTTTTTAGCAAATGTTGGTTCCATTTTCGTTCGTTCCACTGCGCCGAATCAAACTGTAGATCTGACAAACGGTTCAAGGGGTCCTCGATAGTATAGTGGTTAGTATCCCCGCCTGTCACGCGGGAGACCGGGGTTCAATTCCCCGTCGGGGAGACTTTAGGCGATTTTTTATCGTGAAAAAGTTTAGATGTTTTTTATCATGAAAAAGAAGATACAAATTTATTGAAGGTGGATTGTACAATGTAAGAGAAAATATAATTTTTGTGTTTTTGAGTGAGCGAAAGCAAAGCAACTAAAAATGTCATTCGTTTTTATAAAAGCATTAGACAGCATTTAAAACACATGTTCGATCCCCGCAAGAAAAAAACCGGGTTTCCAGCATTATATTTTATACCCGTTTCTCGTAGAGTTTGTGGTTGAAGGATGATTTTCCGACCCCATAAACTATGTACATATATTCTTAGTCTCGGAAACTATAAAAGCTACAATACTGGGATTAGGCATGCGATCTCAATATATGGTTATGTGGGTGGTAGACAGATGTAAGCGTTATGGGCGTTTAGACTGGGCGTGGCAAACTTTCTTTCGGGTCAACCGATAGGTATTGAAGAGAACATTACATTTCAGTTGTAAATTTGTATTCTAGTATTAAAACGGAGCCAAAGTTTTGGGAGGCGTTAGAGTGGGTGTGGCCAACTGACGAAACAAACTTTCGCTGCGCAGGAATCTCTAGAATCTGCATGTTGAATCCCAGTATTGCAGCTTTTATAGTTACCGAGATCACAGCGTTCATACGGACAGACGGACATGGCTAGATCGACTCGGCTAGTTATCCTGATCAAGAATATATGGGGTCGGAAACGCATTTTTGTACCTGAAAAAATTTATTTTCATGGCGACACTCTAAAAGTTAGCGTACATTTTATTCTGTTTGGTATTTTTTGGTATACTGCCTAATGTTGGTGATTTATCACTAGAAAATCTGACGTAGCACTCGAGTAGGCAAGGGATTTTTTCGGCACAACTCAGCCTGATACGAATATAAAAACGATGATTTATTTATTTTATTCTTATTTATTTTAAACGCTGTCCTTCCCAAAGTGGGCCTTCGTTCGAACAATTTACAATATAATGAGGGTATCTAAAAGTAGAATTGCTTGATTTAAGAGTACTGACCAGTAGCATCTGGCAACGCTGGTTCTAAAAATTCCTGCCGGCAACGCCAATCGACAAGTTCTCACTCGTACATATTTGCGTGTGTTTGTGCAAGAAAACAATCTTGTAGGTTATATGCGGTATAACATTCTTATAGATAAACAATATATTGTGTTCAATAAACCTTTATCTACAAAAGACGTTTATAAAACTTATGCAAATTATAGCTTGTGAGAGTGCAATTTTTTAATTGTAAATTATAAATAAAGCAATACATATAGATGGCCGGCAAAAACAGAGAGCGCAATTTGAAGAGAGCGCAAGGTGAAGGGTTGTCAGATTATGTTTGGGTACAACATTGAAATCCGGTATAATTTGAATGTTTCGGCTTGAATTAACTTGTGAGGGCTTTACGTAACGTTGGCGATTTTTGGAGAAGCAGTAAAATATTTGTTAAGATAAAATTTCTTTTTCTAACTTTAATATTTATTTATATGCTTATGAGTATGTTTTTGTAGCACGTGCTGTAAGACTTTGTTACCATAAAAAAATCGTGCACAAAAATCGCCCTTGGCGCGCGCAGTCTTACACGCGCCCACTGAGAGCTCAACGGTAGAAGTGGAGATACTTATTAACTATTTCTGCTTTCGACTTAAAAATGTTTCAAAATATTTTAAATTGTTTTTGTATTACAAAGTTCAAACGGCCCTAAGTAATTGTTTATGATTTCGCGGATAAACTAACTTACGTTCAGAGAGGGAGACTTTGATAAGAGGGAGTTTTAGTCAACCAAGAGAACGTGAGAGAACATTTCAAGAGTTCGCCTTTAGCCCACTAAAAATTTCTCTTCTCATTTAATATACAAAATTTGTATTAAAGTCTTTAACTAAACAAAAATTAATTTTGTTTGTTTTTAATTGCAATTTAGTGAAAACAAAATATGTAGGTATGGCTTTCGGCGAAAAATGTAGATTATGATTTTGTTGTGATACGTACTCTTTGAAACGTATGAGGGATTTATTTTATTTTTTAAAATTAAAAAAAAGTTTGAGAGGTTCTAAACCTACTAAACCTAAACTCAAGAATTATTTCCGTTGATGCCAAAATCTCAGTTTGTTTAGGCACGAATTGGCTGGAATGAATGCAAAATTAAATTAAGCACAATTGTTCCAATATAATTATTAAAAATTTCCAACTAACATATTTCGGTCAATATCTAAAAATAGAATAACCTTATGTACAAATACATAATAACAGCAACTATTAATAAAAATGTATATGTACAACAGGGCGGACTTTTGTTATAAATGACTTTCTATTCTTAATGCATAACATAAGAAAATATTGAAAAAAAAATATTTTATACGGTGCGCAATAAACGTTAAAAAATATTTTTTTATTTATATTTGCATTTGTTCATCCCAATGTAATGTGTCTCTTCAACTGTTAGAAGTAAGCAGTAAGATAAATGTTTACAGCTGTAGGAAATGCTCTTAACGGTTGAAAAAGAGAGCGGGGAGAGAGAGAAACGCCGAGAACGTGCCGTCCGTGGGTCTCTTTTTATTTGCTGCTGCAGCCTGCAGCGCGTTGCTCTCCTCTCTTTCAACAGAAATGTTGAGCTGCGTCTCTGCTTCTGTGCTGCCGCTGTTCGAATCTTTACATTTCTAGTGAGAATTAGGAGCGGCACTCTCTTTCACTCCCTTTTAGATTTCTCTGGATATTTCTCCACCGAATGGCGCGTTTAAAACGCGTTTCAGTCGCGATTTCGGAGCGGCTACGTAAGAACCGTAAGTGTCAGTGCGAGATGCAAGATAGTTCGCGGCGAGCAAAGTGAATGAAAAACCATTTGTGGCCTAAGTGAAATTTACTCAAAAAACATTCAAAGGATTGGCACAGATGTTGAGACTAAAAGAAATTGTCAGTGAAAAATAAGAAATCGATTAATACTGAAAAGGAAACTCGGTTTTGTAACATTAAACAACATCAGAAATAACACGTTGGACAGATCGCCGGGAAAGTATTCCAAAAGCCGATATTGGTTTCCTGTTAAAATATTGTTTTCCAAGATATTTTCACAAATACACTCGACAAAGAGATATGTATCTTTCGGGTTGATAAACAAATTCCAACACCAAAACGATTTTGTCGCGCAATTGTGAAAGTTCATTGTGTTAAATTTTTAATGGGTAATTTAGTTTAGAAATGTGCAAGATTGAGTGCGTGTGTGGTGGTGAATAAAAAATAACAATAATAAGCCGAAAATTGCCCAAATGCAAATTGCAATCACAACGTATGTATGTATATGGAATATGATGAAGAATATAAAAAGGAGAACTGAATAAAACCGCAGGAAAAAAGCCAATCCCAAAAATACAAAATTTTGGCAATTTTTCACATATTTTTCATTGATTTTTCGCTTGGCGCGCACCCTTCTTGTGGGAGTGAGAGAGAGGCCGTGAGCGTTGAAGGGAGAGAGAGGCATTTTTATTCTGTTTTGTGAACGTTTGGCAATGGAACGGCTCTCTCGCGCTCTCTCGCCTTCATCTTCCAACAGTCCCAGTCTGGATTATCCTTTTATATTTTGTTTATTTCTCTATTTTGTGCACACCATTCGTTTCGCTGCATTTCAATCTCGCGGCGTTTCAAATTGCCACACACCGACTCAGAGAGAGAGAGCAGTTGCTCAATTCCCTCTTTCTCACATCCTAACCTCCCCGCAATTATTTTTCCGCCTCTGCCTTGTGCTCCGCATTCGCATCTCCTGCAGTCGTTGTCCTTTGTCCGCATCGCGTTGCCAACCGAAAAAAATAAAGTACTGTTGTCATAATAAGAAACTAACAAGCAAAAAAAGAAATTAAGAACTAAGAAAAAGAAAACTTGAAAATAAATAATGAACATATCAACCATACATGTGTATATGTATGTATATTAAAAATACTTAAACTACCTTAACGAAAAAGGGTTTTTTTTTAATAAAATTGCATTGTTTAAAGTATTTGCTAGTCGGCTAGAAGACAAGGCATCTAAAAGTATTTGAAAAATTAAATTATTCTTAAATGATTAAACTTTATTGTTTATGAGGATGTAAATACATACATACATATGTATGTGAAAATGATTACCCAAACAACTTTGTAAATCCAATTGAACAAAAATATATGATCTGTTATTATCTAAAACTAATCTTCTGCTATCGACGTCCGGAGTCTTACTTGGAACCAACAACCGAAATATAACCCAGCTTTTTTCACATTCCCACAGTATTCAACGCAGAAACAAAGTGAATAAAGGAAAACATACATAGTACAGAAGAAAAAACTGAGGAAAATATGGACCCATAGCCTACTTATCGCATATAACTGGTTAATATATTTGCTGTCGCGTAAATTCGACTTCTCCGCCGATACGTTCCTCGCCACCAGGTTTAAAATATATATATTCGAATAAGCGTTGATCGCGCGCGTAAATCTGTATCTGTGTGCGTGAGCCCCTTTATCCTTTGTACATATGTACAATACTTGTCGTCGTCGTCGTGCATCGTTGTTGTTGTTCTTGCTGTTATCCTATTTATTCATCGTCGTCCGCTGGCATTAATCTGCGAATAAAGTAAATATAATAAATTTGTGTTTTTCGGTGTTGTCTCGTGTAAGTGTCTATAATTTGTTTGAGTACGACAAGCGATCGGTGCGATTTAAAAAGTTCCAAATCACCTGTCTGTGTGTGCAATTTGAAAATATCGCTATCAAAACAACAACGGGAACAAGCAAATCAATCAATCGACGTCACCAAAAACCCAATAAACTGGAATTGCCAAGACAACTAAAATTCTTTGTCTTCAAAGCGTTTTGGATCCACACATCTAGGAATAATAAAGTTGTAAAACAAATCCAACTTTTAAAATCCGTTTTATTAACACTATTTGGAAGGTGAGTTTGTATATTCATTGTATTTAACATGGAAAAATGAAATATACCGGGATGCGACAGAAATCGCACAGCGATAATCTGGCCTGAATTTTATATTGAAGCTTATGAGGAACCCACCCTCATTCAGTGCTGCACAATTTTTGTGGCACCACCGCTACTTTGAAACGAGTTTGATCCCTTTGTACAGGGCATGCTTTGAACAAGCTTCTTAGCCCAAAAATGTATTATAAGTGTAGTTATGTGGATTAAACACAAACTAAATTGGGGGCATCAAGTTATTAAGTCAGTAAAACTTTTAATATTCAAACTATGCTCAATTTCTATTTAAATTTGCACTTGTTATTCCAAGATAATATTAAGTTACTGGTACAACAAACAAAACTTTAACTATTCGAAAATGTTTTTACGGGGACTTAGACGTTATTTATCCGAAGTACTTGATAAATCAATTAGTGCTCCTGCTTTAACATTTATAAAAAACCTTGTTACAAATCAGTATAAACCAAATAAGTAAAAACAAGGAAGAACGCTATAGACGAGTACCTCGACTATCAGATACCCGTTACTCAGCTAAAGGGACCAAAGGGAAATGGAGATATGCAAGCAGCAAAGCGAGATTTAAATGCGCCACCTACCGGCGTTAGACAGATTTAAGCGTTATGGGCGTTATTTGAGTTAAAATTTGTTATCTAGCATGCAAATTGTGGGCGTCACAGGTTTAGGCGGTTTGTGGGCGTTAAAGTGGGCGTGGCAAACTTTTTTTTGGGCCAACCGATAGGTATTGATGAGAACAATACATTTCAGTTAAAATTTTTATTCTAGCATCAAAACTGTAGGAGCCACAGTTTTGGGCGGTTTGTGGGCGTTAGAGTGGGCGTGGCACTCTGCTGAAACAAACTTGCGCTGCGTAAGAAGCTCTGGAATCTGCATAGCCCAGCTCCGGATGGTTTTAAAATTTTCGATACACTTATCAAAAAAGTATCAAAGTTATACGGCAACGAAAATAGCACCACTTAAAGAAAAGGCTTAAAAAACTTAAAAATTACGCGAATTGAAAATTTTTTTGATTGAAATGTATGATTTTATACATCTTAAGGTAAAAAAATATTGTTCTAAATCTTGAGCTGCAACAACAAAAACAACGACCGACCTTGACTTCACTAGACACCAGAATCTTTCCTTGGCAAAATTCTTGTGTGACTCGTTCAAAATATTGGGTGGGCAAGAAAGTCATGTCGTTTTTTTTAGTAATCGTTTTTAATCTAATTTATTTACGACTAATCGAGCACCAGGGTCACACTTTTTAGTATCGTTTTAAAGCTTATTGTCTTAGGTACTATCGACGAAAATTTGGTAATTATTCGATAACATTTGTGGAAGCTATAGCAAATTAAACATGGAGGACCAAAGTGAGCATTTTCGGCATATTTTGCTTTTTTACTTCCGAAAAGGAAAAAAAGCGGTCGAAGCTCGCGAAAAATTGTGCGAAGTGTATGGTAAAGATGCCATGAGTGATCGCCAATGTCAGCGCTGGTTTGCCAAATTCAGGCTTGGAGATTTTGGAGTTAAAGACGCCCCACGTTCTGGTCGACCATCGGCCGTTTTTGACGAACAAATTCAGGCTTTGCTGGATGAAAACCGGCGCTATTCAACGCGGGAGATGTCAGAGAAGCTCAGTGTGTCGCATACAACGGTTGAAAACCATTTGAAGAAACTTGGCTACGTAAGCAAGCTCGATGTTTGGGTTCCGCATAACTTAAAGGAAATTCACCTAACTAAGCGTATCAACATCTGCTATTCTCTGCTGCAACGGATTAAAAACGATCCTTTTTTGAAGCGGATCATTACTGGCGACGAAAAGTGGGTTGTTTACAATAATGTCCAACGAAAAAGATCATGGAGCAAGAAAGATGAGCCAGCCCAAGCCACATCAAAGGCCGATATCCATCAGAGGAAAGTTATGCTGTCTGTTTGGTGGAATTGGAAGGGTGTAGTGCACTTTGAGCTGCTGGGACGGAATGAAACCATCAATTCAGATGTGTACTGTCGCCAGCTATCCAATTTGGCGGAAAAAATTAAAGAAAAGGAGCCGGCACTAGCTAATCGCAAGGGTATAGTCTTTCACCATGACAACGCTAGGCCCCACACATCTTTGGTCACTCGGCAAAAATTAACGGAGCTGAATTGGGAAGTGCTACCACATCCACCTTATAGTCCGGACTTAGCACCTTCAGATTACCATTTGTTTCGCTCTCTTCAAAACTCTTTGAATGGTAAAAACTTTGATTCAGATGAGGCTGTCGAAAACCACTTGTCTCGATTCTTTGCTGGAAAAGACCAAAAGTTCTTCGAGCGCGGAATTATGCAGCTGCCCGAGAGATGGTCATTAGTGGTCGAACAAAACGGCCAATACATAATTGATTAATTATAAGTCCTGATATAAATAAATCATCTTTGAAAATATTGAAAAAAAACGACATGACTTTCTTGCCAACCCAATAGCTCAAGAGCAGCTATTTACCCAAAAAAAGTTTGCCACGCCCACTTTAACGCCCACAAACCGCCCAAGCCTGTGACGCCCACAATTTTCATGCTAGATACAAAATTTTATCTGAAATGTATTGGTCTCGTCAATACCAATCGATTGATCCAAAATAATATTTTCCACGCCCACTCTAATGTCCGTAACGCTTAAATTTGTCTACCGCCGGTAGGTGGAGCATTTTAATCTCGCTTTGCTGCTTGCATATCTCCATTTCCCTTTGGTCTCTTTAGCTGAGTAACGGGTATCTGATAGTCGAGGTACTCGACTATAGCTTTCTTCCTTGTTTTGGTTTATAATCGTGCGTAAAGCTTCCAAAATAAATTTATTTTGTGTTACGAATAAAATTGCATCATAATTTCTGAGCTAGCAAAGTAGACATGTAGATCCTGTATTGGTTAATCTTAAGATATGGTACCATCATTATAGTACGTGAATATGTCCGTACCATGAGACTTGCTTCACCAATATTATTCTTTGCAATTGTGAATTGGAAACACAGTTTTCGATTTGTAGGTTATCTGATGTGAATTTGAAATCTTTTTCATCTAAACATAAGCAATATTCAGCCGCCAGACCATAGAAGAGTTGCCCTTTATTTGTGGGCCTTATTTAAGACTCGTCCTTCAAATTCACCCATTCTCTGCAGTCTGGGGAGATTTTTTTTGGATGTCAGGCGTATAATTTTTGGTTATGTACATTATATCCAACTTTTTATGTACTTACAATTATTAAAAAAAAATTCAACTGATAGGCGGCTAAAAGGCACCTACTTGCATTTATGCACATGACTTTTTAACTGCACTGCGTGCTATTCTTTTGTGTTCTTGCTTAAGGTAACAACTAATTATTATTTTAAAGAATTCGACGATTCAACTTAACTTATCTTTTGCATTGTCTTTATAAATTAGCTTTTTGAAAGTCCTTCTATTTTCTCATTACAGTTCGCCTAATGACCCATTAGGAACACTATTTTATTCAATATTTTACTTATTCTTAATACAACAAAACAATAAACGGCAAAAAAATATGAACAAATGAAGTTTTAAACCGAAAACAGTTTATAGTGCTATTTTTGTTGCCGCAAAATTTTTCTTCCATCCGCATTGTGGGCGTAACCACTTTTAATTTAGTTAATAGATATGTAAACCTACTTACCCTTACAAACAGAATACAAATATTGATAAAAGTGACCATTTTGTAGCACAAAGAATTGCCTACACATTGGTGCTATTTTTGTTGCCGCAGCTGTATGTATATTTAAGAATAACCAAAGAAGCACGTATATTCTGTATTATGTTACACAAATACTTAAGCTGCCTGAAGTAGGTACAACAAAACGCGTTAAAGGAAAGTCCCAAGAAAAAGAGCAACAGCAAAAGCGTTTTGAAAGGAAAAGTTACATTTCAGCTAAATGTGCGGCTGATGAACCCTATGGGAGGTGAAAATCCACATCCTTTGCTTCGTACGCAGTGCATGTTTAATACGCTTATTTTCTACATGTAACTAAAATAAATATTGTGTCTAAATTTATAAGCAACAGTTAAAAACAAGAGAGGATGGCCTCGACTATTAGGTACCCATTACTCAGCTTAAGGGAGTGCGAGAGGGATGGAGATAATAACACACATAGCCTTTAACGCCACCTGTATTCTTCTTCTATAGCGAAATCTTCAACAAAATATGAATTTTTCTCGAAAAGGTACCATTTTTCGAAAAAAGTTGTACAACCATAAATTTGTAAAACAACTGTAAAAGACAACTTTTGTTGGAAATAATGGTTTTAATTTAAAATGCAATGATAAAAAGACCAAAGTTGAATTTAATTTGGTGTTTCTCCAAGAAATCGGCGTTGTTGCTAACTTTTACCTAGTTATTCCTAATTGGGTCTCAAGATACATGAATTTTAACGTTTTTGCTAAGTATTCAAAGTTGGCCAACTTAGAATTAATTAATTCAATTGCGTAAGGGAGTTGTGGTCATTTTTGAAATTATTAAATTATAAATTTAAGTCTATCTTCTCTTCGACTACACCCAGAAAAAAATCCGTTCGAAACGTTCAAAAATCAAGACCAAACGTTGTCAAAAAGTGCGTGAGCCCGTTTGTTGACAGTTCATGAACGGTTGTTCGTAAAATGTGACCGAAACTTTAGCGTTGGGTTCCGAACGAATGGTGTCAGTTTAAGAACATTTCGGGGTTAACTTGAGAACATAAAAATATTAAAAAAAACGAGGTTTGTGTACATGCTAGACTTTCTGGACGCCTGGTAGAGATTTATTTAATTTCCCACCTTATGTTTTGTTATTGCTAGAAATCAATGTGTTTTGTTTATTTTGCTGAAGACAAAGAGTTTATTAATTAATAGAAGTACATATAAACATTAGAAATAATATTTTAATAAAACTTACAATTCACAACCGTCTTCTTGCGGACTCGAACCTGTGATACCATGTGTCGAAGGCGGACGCTCTAGCAGCTGGACCACCGAGCGAATTTTTCGATAGCGGAAAATCGGGACACTAGACCGACATATTGTTGCAATAAACAAACATCAACCATGTGGCGAGAACATTTTTCGAAATTTGGAACCAAGTTGTTCGTCGGTAGAGATTGTTACCAACACCGTTCGATTTTCGTGAACATACGTTCGAAATGTGAGAACTAAAAATGGAGAACGGATTGTTCGCATTTCATGAAAAATGTTCTTGATTTTTTTCGTTCTTTTTTTTCTGGGTGTATCTAACTGGTTCTAAGTTCGGTGTTATGGTCCCCTTTGTTCTTCTTCCCATTACCCATGTTTGCTATTTCCACAAATTGTCCTTCGATGCAGGTTTGCGTCTTCTAATACGTCTTGTAATACGCCCTGAATCTGTTCTATTCAATTTCTACGGTTTTTTCTCGGCCAGACTACATGTTGGCAACTACAGGAATACAAAAAAAAAACTTCGCATCCTTGAGATACTTTTTCATGATATTTCAACCAACAACAATCCACACTTTGCTTATGCTAATAAATTACAATAAATTCATGAAGTATTTAGCGGCCTAAATCTTGCTCGTTTGTTCCCTTTTCATTTTGTATCAGTCTCTGGTTATGTGTTTTCTATTATTTTGCTGTTGTATTCTGACTTATAAGCAGTGTAGTTGTATTTTTTTTAGCAGAATATATACAAAAATCGCTTCGTTTTTATACAGAGCTGCTTAGTTTTCGGTTTCGTAAGGATTTTATATTATTTGACAATGTAGCAATCCAAATATCGACTTAAAAGATATAATTTCAAGTAACTTGAATACCTTTTATAGATTGCGCCCATAGGTATACCTATTGTACACAATATGGAATTTGTTAAAGAAAGAAGGAAACAAAATTTCAATTAAAACTCCCACTTAGCCCAAAAGGATTTAGTAAAGTCTCTTGTAACGGATTTTTAAATCGGAACGCTACAAAAGTTTATTTAAATAAAAGAAAAACCGTTTGGGTATCAACGAAGTACTTTATTTCGGTATAAGTACATTCAATGCCGTTATGTATGAAACTCGATATCTTCTGCATGGCCACCACGGAAACGCTTGCAAGAGTCCAGACGCTGAACCCAATTTACTGTTGCAATTTCAAAATCGATATTAAATCATCAATCGTCGCTGACTTCAGTTCTTGCGTCAATTTGATTTTGTAGGGATCCTACATCCAAAATCGTTTTGCTTAATTCGCCAAAGCGACGACAAAAAGATCCCAACGCCATAAATTGGACGTAGCGATCTTAAAGTTAAGGCCACTGACACCGAGTTTCGATAGTAAATTTTAATAATTTCGTTACGTTTAGATCCCAAATTCAAAAAACATGGAGTTGTTTGCTTCCTTATCCGTATTCCCCTTTTGAAAAACCCGTTATAATAAAAACCATGAACATATAATTAATTTACTAGTTGAATTACTGTAAAAGTTGTTTGTGCTAAGGCGATTTTACACCGTACCAAAACCACAAATACACAAAAAATACGAAGGTAGTAATACTTTTTACTCAAAGACTTTTTGATGTTACGTTTGATTTAAAAAACATATCAATTTGATGAGAATGACAATATGATACGGATTCATGTCAACATTTGTAATTGATATGGTTTGGTAAGGCGCTTTACCTTTAAAGCAAAAAAGTACCATAAATTCCAAGAAAAGCCTTATTACCATTAAAGCAAAAAATCATTATAACTTCAAGAAATATCGCCTTTGGTTCTAACACCTTCTCATTTAAAAGACAGCTTACCTTTAAAAGCAGAAAAATCGCCCTAAATGTATGAAAAATACATGTATATTTTGTATAGAAATGTGCCTTATTTTGGTACCCAACCTCTTTTAGGGCAATTTACACGTATCTAGCAAATACATCGTTAATGACGTCACAGCCTGTAGATAAAAGTGAAAATTGTAAAATATTGAAACGTAATGAAGATATGTAAAATGTATATTTATTTTGAAAGTCTGTTACCTGAGTTATCGGTATCTGATAGTCGGGGCACTCAACTATATCGTTCTCTGTATTTTTTTTACATTCAATTGCTAATTAAACTTAATAACATACACAATAGTGAAGCAATTGACAATCTAAAAGAGGAAAGGCAAGCGATTTGAAATCACAGTTGAAACCACATTTTCATGAGTATCATAATTTAATTTTCAAGTCAATTGAAAGTTCCTTTTAATTCATTATTTATTAACTTTAACATGGCTTTTTTGATAAAAAATTGTATTGTGATGTAATTATATTGAACGGAAATTATGAATTATTGATTATTTCAATTTAATAAAACGACTCGAATTAATATAATTTTAATTTGCAGACTCCTATCAGTTCATAAAGAGATAATGGTATATTTAACCTATTATTTTTCTGAAATGTTTGTAGAAGTAGTCGTTATCATGTTATCAACTAACCAGAATGTATAAATTCGGCTTGTGAAAAAAAGAAATTCGAGTGAAAAGCAGTTAACAATTTCAGTGACTGATGGAGTTTCGTTGGCCGACTGTGACCAAACTGTGATAAAAAGTCCGAGAATAAATAAACGCAAATGCACAAACACAAACAGACAAAGATATTGACAATCAAACCAAAAAAACAGAAACAAAATTTTCAGTCAATTTTATTTCAATGCTTACAGTTTTTTCAGAATTTATTTGTATGCACATAAAGTTACATTTATATTTATGGATACATTTTTTTTTGGATTTTACCTAAACTTGCATACAATTTTCATGGCGTTTGTTTTCCTTAATCTACAGGGGTGGTCAAAAGTATTTACACAAAACAAAAGTTAAATATACTCATAATTTAAAATTACTTCATGTACATTTTGGCATCAATAGAAAGGTGATTTAAATTCCCTTTGAATGATACAAGACTTTTCTTAACCCATTCAGTACTAATTGAAAATGCCGAATTTTTGTGAGAACCTACTTCTTAATCTTTTTGCCACGTCTTGAAAACTCTCTAAAAATTTTTTAATCAAAGCTCAAAAATCTCTTTGCTTATATTTTTTATGATTTTTTTAATGTGACAATGTCTAAAAAAGATAAAAATGTGGACCGAATCCAAATTTCTAAACATTTTTAAAAAATATAAGCAAAACGATTTTTGAAATTTGTTTTTAGTTTTTATGTCGTGGACAAATTTTAAAAAGTAGATTTTCACAAAAATTCTGAATTTTTTTATAATTACTGAATGGGTTAACAAAAGTCTTGTATCATTCAAACGGAATTTAAATGACCTTTCTACTGATGCCAAAATGTACATGAAGTAATTTCTAATTATGAGTATATTTAACTTTTGTTTTGTGTAAATACTCTCGACCACCCCTGTATTAATATAACAAATTATGGGTTGTGCAAATGATAAAAAATCATTTTACCCGTGCTTACAGTATCTGGCTCGGTTTATTCGGTAAGTTAGCCTTTGAAATTTAGGTTTGAAAAGTATAGTTCAAAAATATAATTTCCAAATTAGTGTTAAAAATATATCAATAATTTTGGTATTTTTGTGCTGATTTTTTTTATATATAATTTAAGGTGAGATAATCATAATCTACAACGTTTTTGATAAGCGGAAAATATTTTCGCATTACCATACCAAAGATAACCTTGCTTTAATCAAAAAATACAAATGATGTATTTTAAGACACAATACCAGATTTTGAATACATATTTTATTTCTTAAAAAAACCGCGCAAATTTTATTTTTTTCGCTGTACATGTGTATATAAGCTTTTAAATAATTAATAAACTTCTTTAATTCAAAAATAATTAAAAGCTTAAATGACCAATGTCAATTGCATTGATAGATCTCTCCCACTCGGATTAAAAAGTGTATGTAATATGAATTTTATTCCAATTTTTTTATTTCTACTCAAAGAAATAGTGAATGTTAGTAAACTAACCTTACATTTTTTGGGATTGTTGTTAGTTTCAGCTTCGCGCCTTTTTATTATTTTGCTATGGAAGGCAGAAGGTATAGTGATCCATTTATACATACAATGCCGGCAATACAATTTTCAATACAATTTTCTAAAAGCTTCATTGCGATAGCTAGACTAATTTGTGTACAGCGAAAAAATAGAAATGGCTATATTGGCTCAGCTGTTTTTGCTGATGCTGAAATGTCTCCTTCATTGCGTAGCAAGCTTCTGACAGAATTATATTACCCTCTGCAAGGGTATAATAATACGTTTCGGTAATCGTTTGCATTGGGAACGGGGAACCAACCCCCGATAGAAAAGTCTGGTTTGGGTTCTCTCCTGTTAAAGTGCACGCAACTAAAGTAACGACAGCTGTAAATTGAACTTTTTGGACTCGTTGCAGGGATATCTCCACCTTTTTCCGCCTAGCCTCAGGCAACACCACCGCATTTAACACATGAGCGTCCATTGTAGTTTAGGAATAATTGGGTTAAGGCTGAAGAGAAAAGCACCAACAATGAAAGTTGTGTGCATAAAACAATATGAGCGGAGGGAGCTGAGCTTCATTTGCTCTATTTCATCACAATTAAAATTCAAATTCAAATTTAAATTGAAAATGTTAATTTTTCCTTTCTTCCTTTGGCCTCCTGGCCTGTGAAAACATCCTGCAGCAGCTTTTGGTAGTTTTCATTCTTGGCTCATACAATAAAGCTCAATTTGTTGATGCTGGTCCCTTTTTCTCCAAAAGAGTGGACTGAATGAGGAACAGATATTTATATGATGGTGCCTACTCAGAAATAATTGATTGGTAAAATTGGCCAATATAATAGTAAAGCTGGACCCAACCATAGAGTTGTCAACTTTTCCCATCAATTAGTCACTCTAACGTAACACGCAATCGTAAGGGTTACTATAAAAAATTGTTATGTAACTATAAAAAAGGTAGAATGCTCCCAAACCATGGATTGTAGTTAAATTAATATTTTTATAGTTATCCAACCCATAAAATATCGTTAAGAGAACTTTTTTATACCCGTTACTCAAAGAGTAAAAGGGTATACTAGATTCGTCGGAAAGTATGTAACAGGCAGAAGGAAGCGTTTCCGACCCCATAAAGTATATAAATTCATGATCAGGATCACTAGCCGAGTCGATCTAGCCATGTCCGTCTGTCTGTCTGTCTGTCCGGTTGAACGCAGAGATCTACTGAGATTCCTGCGCAGCGCAAGTTTGTTTCAGCAATGTGCCACGCCCACTCTAACGCCCACAAACCGCCCAAAACTGTGGCTCCTAAAGTTTTGATGCTAG